CCCCCCCCCCCCCCCTCCCCTCCCCTCCCCTCCCCTCCCCTCCCCTGTGAACGTGGTTGGTTGGGTGTAAACGGTGGCTTGGTGTAAAGGGTGCTGCTGCTGCCGCTCTGCTGCTTCCTGCTGCCGCTGGTTGCCGCTTTTGTAGCTGCTGCTTTGCTACTTGTTGCGGCTTGGTGCTGCTGCTGCTGTTGCTGACGACGCCGCCGCTGCTGCTGCTGCTGCTTGCTGCTGCTGCTTGCTGCTTGCTGCTTGCTGCCGGTGGCGCTTGCTGCCGGTGGTGCTGCTGCTGCTGCGGCTTGATGCTGCGCTGCTGCTGCGTGGTGCTGCTGGCTGGTTGGCGGTTGCTGCTGGCTGCTGGCTGCAGGCGGCTGCTGCTGCTGCTGCTGCTGGCTGCTGCTTGCTGCATAGGACTTGTACTTCACCGTTACAAGTTGTTTACCCCTATTTCTAACCTAATGCATGCATAAGCGGGTGGTAAATTTACCCCCCAGGCTTGCTATAACCATACACCGGCTATTTCCTCAAGACACTCTATTCTTGATACCTTTTACCAGTGCTTATCCTACACTACGGACGCCCTAGTGTATGCACAGTCCTTGTGATGCTTACCCCTCGTTCCGGCTCAAGGCATACATAAGCGGGGGGTAAATTTACCCCCCAGATTTGCCATAACCATAAGCCGGCTATTTCCTCAAGACACTCTACTCCTTATACCTTTTACCAGTGCTTATCCTACACTACGGACGCCCTAGTGTATGTACAGTCCGTATGATGTCAGAAATGCTTACCCATCTTTCCGGCTCAAGGCATACAAAAGCGGAGGGTAAATTTACCCGCCAGATTTGCCGATCACGCATCTTCGTGCCTGCCAACGAGTGCACCCGGGTTGTTCCAATGTACCCTTCCCAGTCAGCGATGTCACATTCTTTAGCGCAAAGTATGTACATAGCAACCTTCCTCCCAAAACATGTAATCCCTACATGCTTTGCCGACTATGTAACTAGCACATCCGGTGCAATTCGGCTAGCTTTCGACCTCCTCCCCCTGGCCTCAAGTTTGCGGAGCACGCGTCTTCGTGCTTGCCAACGAGTGCACCCGGGTTGTTCCAATGTACCCTGCCCAGTCAGCGATGTCGCATTTCATTCTCTAGCCCCAAGTATGTACACAGCAAGCTTCCTCCCAAAACATGTAATCCCGACACGCTTTGCCGACTATGTAACTAGTACATCCGGTGCGACTCGGCTAGCGTTCGACCTGTTCCCCCTGGCCTCAAGTGATGCTTATCCCTCGGTCCGGCTCAAGGCATACATAAGCGGGGGGTAAATTTCCCCCCAAGATTGGCAATAACCACAAACAGGCTATGTCCTCAAGACACTCTATTCCATATACCTTTTACCCGTGCTTCTCCTACACTACGGAGCAGCAGTGGGGGGGTAAGGGCTATGCCAAACCAATGCAGAGGGAAGCAGAAAACCCATATGTGGACACAGAGTGCAAAGATATTGTGAAAGGCTTGCATCGCAAGAAGACCCCATCCCTGCAGGGGGCGCGGTGGAGCACCACGGAGCCATCCGTCATGCAACGACCTGTCCAGCTGTCAGAAACGCTCGGAAAATTAGACGCCTGGAGCCAGGACCTCAGCGAAGGCAAATGCAACTCCCAACAAGCCGAGTTTTGTCGGCGGATAGTCGAGCAAATGAAAGCCGAAATGCAGCCGGCAGAAGGGGCAACACCCGAGCCACTGCGGTGGGCCTTGCACGGCGGGCCAGGCACAGGCAAATCGCACACATTGAAACTCATACGAGAAGAGCTGTTCGAGCAGATCGCTGGGTGGACGCGTGGGTCTCAGTACCAGATTGTGACGTTGCAAGCGGTCATGGCAAATGATTTGGACGGCGACACCATTCACCATGCACTGGGGCTAAATTGGCAGAGTGCGTCAGACGACAAAATCAGTGGGAGCAAATTCTTGGACTTGAGTGCCAAGGCCGTGCAATGGCGTTGGCTAATAATAGACGAAATCAGCATGGTCAGCGCAGAGCTTTTAGCCAGGTTGGATTTGCGATGCCGGGAGCTGGTGCGAGACCTCGCACAGAGCAAGTATGCACGAGGAAGCGCTCACGCTCGGCCCTTCGGGGGGGTTGAATGTGATTTTGTCCGGGGACCTCTGGCAGTTGCCGCCCCCACGCGGAACATTCTTGGGAGAGGTGCCCTGGGAAATGCTAACGAGTGGGAAAAGCAGAAAAGTAGCGCATACCGTGCATGGGCAGGAACTGGTATGGGGATCGGTAGGGGAGAAGAGTGTGGTCCAAGGCTTGACCGAACTCGTGCAATGCGAACGAACGCGGGATGTATGGTTGCAACATGTACAGAAAGAAATCCGGGACGGCAGACTCGCTGCGGACAGCCGTGCATTCTTGCACGGCCAGGATACATCAGTCCCAGGGAGTTGGTCTGGCGAAGCTTTAGAGTGTGGGAATGCAACGTGCAGGAAGCTAATGCAGGGCAAATACACGCCCGCACACATCCGGCTGCATGAATGCCCCAGGTGCAAGGAAGAACGAGCGTCCAAGAAACGCGTGGTAGATACCGCGGGGCACATGGTCGAAGTGGAGAAAAGGGACCGAGCCAAAGCAATTTTTGCGACGAACGCAGTGAAGTACCATGTGAACAAGTTGCGAGCGCAAGATTGGGCACAGAGGCAGGGTCAAGAAGTGCAGTATGCCATCGCAAAAGATACTATCTCCAGTCGTGCATTGCAAGAAAAACCGGATCTGGGGAGGGAGAAATTACCGTGGCTGCAGCGACATGACCAAGACTGCGGAGGGTTATATGGGGTCTTGCCCTTGTGCGTGGGCATGCCAGTGACGGCAACAGACCACCTGGACCGGCGCAGAGGCATACTGAAGGGATGTCCAGGCAAGGTGGTCGGGTGGAGCTGGCGAAAAGAGCAGGAGATAGCGCAAGACCAAAAGACACACATTTGGAACCAGCCCCCAACCTGTATTTTCGTCCAATTCACAACGAAAACGCAGTGGCGAGTCCAAGGCCTGGACAAGGACAACGTCTTTCCTGTGACGCTTCAACGGCAACCATGGCACATAGACAAAGGCAGGAGCCGGCCAATGCTACGTGTCGTCCGGCGGCAATTTCCGCTGGCCCCAGGCTTTGCAACGACTGCCCACGCCGCACAGGGGCAAACCTACGCAGAGGGTGCAATAACAGACATGCAACTCGGCGAAGGCGGAGACCCCATGACAGCGTACATTGCGGTGACACGGGTGAGAGATAGAGAGGGTTTATACATCTACAGACCCTTTGATGCCTCGCCATACCAGAAAGGATGTAGCGTGGGGAGGGCTCTGTTGTTGCAGACCTGGCGTGGGGACTGCATCGATTGGGCAACCTTACGCACGCGCTACCGAGAAGAAGCAGCGTGCAGCGAGTGCCGCGAACGCAAGCCCAAAAGCGGGTACACTGCAGGGCAGTGGAAACGGGAAGCAGCCGCGCGGGTGTGCAGAGAATGCGTGCGTAACCATGCGGCAAACAACACGCCGTGGCAATGCAGCGTATGCAAAGCATGGCAGGACGAGGCGGCCTTTGCAAAGCAATACGCGCGCCCACCGTGCACTTTCTACCGCGTGTGCCACACGTGCGAAGTGCAGAAGCCGTGCTGCAAGTGCGGCGTGGCAAAGCCGGCGAGCGCGTTTGGAGCTTCTGCGTGGAAGGCGCGACATGCAGACCGACGTTGTTGCAAGGACTGCGCAGTGAAAGTGACAGGTCACTGGCGCTGCGGAGTGTGCAGTGAGCAAAAAGCACGCGAGCACTTCAGCGCGTGGACACGGCAAAGCACGAGGCAAAATGGAAAGCAGCGTTGCAATCCGTGCGTCCAGGCAACGGAAATACGGGCGGCTGCAAAGAAGGCAAAGGGCAGACTATACAAGCTGCGAGTGCAGGACAAGAGACAGCAGGTAATCAGGTGCAGTCGGGCAGAGAGCCCGGACAGCGTACGGCCGTTGCTGCGAAGAAGCGTGTGTCGACAAGCGATACGCCGTGCGACTGCCTGGCAGACGAAGGTAGCGGAGGAAAAGAGATAGCAAGTCATAGCTCTTGTCAGGGAAGAGATCGCTGACCGTGTGCAACAGATGAAAACACAACCAGAGAAGCAAGCAGAGCCGACAGAGACAAAGACCCCGCCCCGCACAGCGACGACGCGAGCAGCGTCGGAAGAGCCAGCAGCAAAGCGTGCAAAACACGAGTCGGTCAGAAACAATATGCACACAGAGCAAAAACGGACGAGGGCAGAGGGAACGGACCAGATGCGAGGTCCACCCGAAGATACAGTAGAGCTGGCTGGACAGAAGGCCGGCCAGGAAACATTCCGATATGTTTGCCCGGCGTGTCAGGCACCTGTGAGAAGCGCCGTGCGCACAGGGGAAATAGAGCACCGCCGTGCATGCGGGAATCGTTTTCGTGTCAAAGACGGACACGTTGACGAGCCGGCGCAGCCGACGCCCAGGAAGACGCAGCCCCGCGCACAGACAACGCAAGCAGCGCAGGCAGTGCCTGTAGCGAAGCGTGCTAAACACGTGTCGGTGAGCATCCAAGTGCGCACAGACCACAAACTGCAAAGGGAACAGGAACCTGACAAGGGTCGAGCTCCAACCGAAAATGAAACGGGCACAAACGCCAAGGCCAGGACAGTGCCGGCGCCACCACGAAACAGTGTTACAGAGGGCGGGCCTACAACGCACGACGATCAACGCGCAGACGCGCAGGCAAGACCGCAACAAGAGACGCAGGCCACGGCGAGAGCCGCGAAGGAGACAAACGCAGCGCCGGCAAAGGTGCCTGGACGGAAAGCCGGCAAGGAAATGTTCCAATATGCGTGTCCTTTTTGTGCGGCGTCGGTGAGCAGCAGCGTGCGCACAGGCCAAATAGATCACCGCCGTGCATGCGGGCATCGTTTTCGCGTCAAAGACGGAGACGTTGCCGCGAGGAAGTGTGACTATGTTTGTCCATTTTGCAAAGGGCAAGTTGCAAGCAATCTGAAAACACGGCAAATAAATCACCGAACGGTGTGCGGCAACCAGTTTTACGTCAAAGAAGGCACTGTTAGCGCGCAGACACGCCAGCGTCCGCAAAGGTGCCCCGCGTGCCACAGTGTGGTCTGGTCAACGCTGCTTTTTGGGCGCATTCAGGCCGCACACAACACACCTTCAGGAAAACAATGCCCGACAAAAAGCTGGCGAGTGCCGGAGAGCAAGCACGACACGACGAAATAGAAAGCGACCATGAATCACACCGGCTTTCGCAGGCAAGGCTGCGGTGAAGGAATGCGCAGCCAAAGGTCCCGGGCAGGGGTGTGGAGGCTGGCCAACGGCGCTGGCAGGTGCCGAGGATGGTTTGAGGGCGGTCCAACACGCCTAACGTTGCCTTCGGGAGCCCAGAAGAAGAGAAGAGGCAGGCTTCGGACAGGCCACAGAGAGGCCGGGGCAGGCCTGCCGGCTGCCGAGAAGCGTTTGAGGGCGGGGCCCGTGGGTGTCTAACGTCGCCTTTGGAAGCCCATAGAAAAAGCTTTCGGCATGCCTCTTCTCTAACGTTGCCTTCGGAAGCCCAGAAGAAGAGAA